ACAAAATAGAATTAAAAAAGGGTTATAAAACAGGTTATATTGTATGTTGCTATATGTCTTTGATTTTAATCATTCACCCCAAGCAAGGCAATAAAGCCACTATGATGCAAGGGTTACAGAGTGTGAAAGAATAAGAGAAAAAAAAAAAATTATTAAAGAGAGAGGACAATAAAAGAACAGCAATTTAAAAGACAAAAGATAACGATTGACATTGCAGTTAAATTTTTGAAGATTAAAGTTAACTGGAAAGCAAGAAGCCGAAAGAGAATTCTACCAGCGGGAAGAAACTGTTAGCAAAGGACTTAAGGTTATATGTTGCAATTTCTACATGAAAATGATGAGACCTAGATGCCCATCTAGTACTGCACTTGAATTCACATAGAATTTGAGTGATTGAATACATTAAAATTCGTTTCTGAAATCTTTTTCATCTTTGATACTCAGTAGGCTTTGCGCTTTTAAATTACAATTTCTTTCAAACTTTACAAAATTCTCTTGAATTAAAAAAGACAGTCTTACAGAAGAATGCTAAAGGTATCTCAAGCAATTCTTCATTGAGAAAGATAAAAAATCTGTAAGTATGGAAGCATGAAGTTGCCTGAAAGCCTTTACTTCTTGATTTTCTCCTGGGATCCTCCGTTTCTTCCCTCCAATCTTTTCTTTTTGTCATCTTCTCAAACACTTCCAACTTTTTGCGGCTGCTCGGTCTCACATTGACTGCTGATCTAAGATGGAACAAATACATTGAGTCAATAGCTTCGTTTACCGCAAGGAAATTTGGTTCCCTGTGCCGCGCCTGGAAATTTTTCTCGCTGGAGTCGATCCTTCAGATTTACATATCAACCATTCGCCCTTGCATGGAGCATTGCTGCCATATATGGTCTGGAGCCCATTCTGTTTGTCTCAAGGTCCTCGATAAAATCCAGAGACGGATATGCAATGTAACTGGCCCTGATCTAGTATCTCGTCGCTCTCTCACAGACGTGCAGTCGCCTCCCTCTGTCTTTTTTACAAAAACTTTCACAGTAACTGCTCCGATGAACTGATTTCGCTGGTTCCCAGACTTCATGAATTTAAGTGCTCAACTACGTTGCCATCTCGCTCTCACACTTTCACTATCGAAACTGTTAAATGTAGACGTCTCTTCTACTCCAATATCTTCATGTCTCGTACTTCTCGCCTGTGGAACTCCCTCCCCTTTTCTAGTTTTCCTGATACCTATAATCTCCAACTATTCAAATATAATGTCAATCGACGTCTCCAGATACCTTGATCTATCCCCTATCCTTCTCTTCATCCTTTTCTCTATCACTCTTATTTGGTCTCGCTCAAACTCTCTTTAGCCCCCGGCGTGCTACTGGCTTCCCGCCTTGCTTGGGGTGAAAAGCTTACAAAAAAATTTAGGTGAATAAATGTGATCTGAATTTTAAGACTAATTTCTATTCCATAATATTATTGCGAGATAAGATAGCATCAGCGATAGGTTAACCGAAATAATTTGGTTTTGGCATCGGTAATCTTCAGAAATATTATTTCATAGAAGTTAAATTCTAGTGGTCGGAAAAAGAGGTTCGTTTGGGGTAATGGATAGCGGTTCTGACTGCGAAATCGGAGAACCACGTTCGAATTCCAGTCGAATTCAATTGCGTTCATTTACGTACTAATATGCTTGGGAAAAGTTTAAATCAATCTCTTCCCCTCCCAGGAGATTAGTCCCAATCAGTATAGAAAGAAAAAAAATATAACTGAATTAATACCACCTGCAGTTTTGTAGGTCCTGCCTCTCTTTAGGACGTAATTTCAATAAAAAATGCCCCAAGAAAGACATTTCCCTCCTCAGTCTTAGTACAATGGTTCGAATAAACCAAAGACTGGTACACACAAGCGAGCCTTACACTTCTCTGATTTCGGGTCATTCACTCATGAGTGTACCGCGCACGGGATTTTAGACGACGAGTCGTTGATATTTTTGCTTTGGTACAAACGAAATACAACATTTATAAACGAAAAGGAATCTGATTTAGTCCGGTCTATGGTCCTGAATATTTTCACACCAAAGATCATTAATCACAGGACTTCAGCTTACAGCTGGTTTTTATCCATTTCCTCAAGACACGCCGGGGACAGAGAACGATCTGACTAACGAGGCCTTTTTTTTTGATAATTAATGAGTTATTTTTTTTATTAGATTTTACCACCCAACAAAGAAAAAAGATAAATAATTTTCCTATCTTTAGTTATGTGGAGCCAAACTATACTTCAATGAAAATGATGTTTTGCTTCGAGACACCCATGAATTGTTGACGGTGTCTACTCTTTTTGTGGTTATTGTTTTGTTTTAATATGTTGTCTATAAGTTTGAAAAAATAGTGAAAACTCTTGGCGACAGGTTTGGAGAATCCGAAGGAAGAAGCAAGTTTCAAAGCCCAAAGTTTTAAGCATTCGCATTTACTATCTTCAACATTCCTCAGCCGGAAATCGGGTGCTGCTGCCATATATGGACAGGCAGTGCTCAGTATTCAGTAATGTTGGTTTAATTTAATTATTTAGTTGTCTCTTCTAATAATTAGCAATAAATGTTGATATGTGATTTTCATTCTCGGATAAAACTGGAGTGGACCATCACTGTTACAGACAAGCAATTATTGGCTACAATGGTTTCTTGATATAACGTTGACTTTGGAAAATTATTAGGAAGATTTCTTTTCGTCAAACCGTTGTAAAAATCTTTTCTCGGACTTAATCAAGAATTTCATGAGAGTTTTCTTCTGACTACAGTCTTAACCTATTCAAGTGTGTTAATGCATGCGTTTACAGCTGGAAGAGACCTGTGGTCCCGAATATATGCACACCGGTGTTTCCTCACTAGATGCTCCATGTTTTCAGCCTCGTGCCACATCTAAGCTTCGCTTAGAAAATCGTATTCACCCCGGTGTTCATTAATTGCATAAGTTCTGTTTACAGCTGGCTTTTGTTCATTTCCTTGAAACACACGGGTGACAGAGAACGATCTTGCAAATCGGGCCTTTTAATTAATCAGTGTTTTCATTAACTTTTCCCAGAAGAAAATAATCTCTTCAATTTCCTATCCTCAGTTATGTAGCAACAAAACAATACTGATGTTTTGGTACGAGACTCTTGTAAATCCTTGACGGATTCCAATCTCTTTTTACTGTTTGTGTTTAATATCATTTTTTAAATTATGTTGTCTATAACGTTGAAAAGATAATGAAAGATTTGGATGACAAGTTTAGAGAATATGAAAGCAGAGGCAAAGTTTGTAAACCGAAAGCTTTGCGTATCTGCAATATTATTTCTGTATCTGTCTATATTTCCGAGATGCAATTTATTATTTTACTATTGTCCTCATCTTTGTCTATATTTATTACAACGTTTCGGCCTTTCACTATCTGTCTATATTTCTGAGATGATTTATGTACACTATTTACATTATTTGTACTATTGTCCTCATCTTTGTCGCCATATTTATTACAACGTTTCGGCATTATATGTTATTTCTGAGATGATGATGTATTATGTACACTATTTACATTATTCGGACTATTGTTCTCATCTTTGTCCCCATATTTATTACAACGTTTCGGCCTTTCACTATCTGTCTATATTTCTGAGATGAGGTATTATGTACACTATTTACATTATTCGGACTATTGTCCTCATCTTTGTCGCCATATTTATTACAACGTTTCGACCATTCAGTATCTGTCTATATTTCCGAGATGAGGTATTATGTACATTATTTACATTATTCGGACTATTGTCCTCATCTTTGCTGCCATATTTATTACAACGTTTCGGCCCTTCAGTATCTGTCTATATTTCTGAAATGAGGTATTATGTACACGATTTACATTATTTGGACTATTGCCCTCATATTTCTCGCCAGAGGTAGACTGTTCTAGTTCCACGTGCCATGTTTAATGAATGTCAATTATCAGTTATCTTCTGTTAATTTCCCTCTAAAAGTTCTCCACTGCCTTAACCGGGTACTGAACCCAGTGAGCGAAATAAAGGGTTCAGTTCGACATTCCAACCACCTGAAGAAAACAGGACGGAAGAACGGCCGAAACGTTGTAATAAATATGGCGACAAAGATGAGGACAATAGTCCGAATAATGTAAATAGTGTATCATTTCTGTAATGTGCGGCTGAGAATTTTCATGAAGCAAAAGTAGTTTCTTTCTGCAGAATAAATCTGGCTTTTGATTTAATTCTTTAGATTTCCAATATTTGGCATCAAACATTGAGATTTGTTTTTACTTTGATTTTCAGAAAATATTTTAATGGAGCATAACTGTTACAAACAATCAAACACTGACCGCAATCGTTTGTTGATGCGACGTTAGCTTTGGAAAATGATTCGAAAACTTTCTCATAGTCAAGCGATTCGGCAAATCATTTCCGGTTGTATAGGCGACACTCCTTTTGTAATCAATCAATAAAATGGATTCTTTTTGTTCCGCAACAACAGAATGGAACAAATTTAGAAAAGGTGACTTTTGCTGATTTTCAATCAGTTCATGTACCACTAACTTTTCTAGTCTCTTTCTGAAGCCACTTCATATATTTGAAGATGTCAAATGCAAACAAAAAAACAATGCACGGACCAATTAAGATCAAGATGACTTGAAAATCATTCCACTCCAGGCAAGGCGATAATGCCACTAAGACGCAAATAGTTAGTAGGAGAAAGAGAAAACTTTATTGAAGAGAAGGAAAAATAATTAATGATTTACTCATAGACAACTACTTTTGCTACTAGTTCCGGCAAATCTCGTGTCTGGTAGATCATGACAGTTTTCTGCTGGCATTTTTTGGCATTGTGGCGTGGTGGCGGTGCTAGGGGAAAATATGGAAAGTCATCTTCTTGATTATATCATTATTTTCCGTTTTAATTACATATTTATTTTCTGTTGCTGTCGAAAGGGCTGATGATTTCGTTTTACTATTTGGTAAATCTATTTGTTCAAGATTTTGGTTTACGGCCATATAGCGTTGAAACACCAGTTCACGTACAATCACAGAATTTAAGCAACGTCGAACCTGGTCAGTACCGAGATGGGTGACCATTTGGGAATACCAGGTGCTGTAAGATTGGATGTGCGGGTGGTGTAATGGATAATAGTTTGAGATTTTTAATCTGAGAGCTGAGTTCCAATTTCAGTTAGTTTTTTTTTTATATTCTGTTAGGCATAAATACGATTGCGAAAGATTTGAATCCACCTCCAGCTATGGGTTAATAAGTAAGCCGTATATCACTAAAGTATTTTTATCTCCTAAAAATTCTTACCATCTTTTGTGATGTCAACGAACACTCGTTACCACTTTTGTGATAGCAACGATTATTCGTTGTAGTAGAGACATTGTAATCGCAGACACAACTAAAGTAACACAGTTGAAAAAAGCTGGTGTCAGACGCGTTCGAATAACACTCACACTAATAGTACTTGCTCGATAATACCCGCTAGAATAGTAATCCGAATAGTGATCTGTATAGAGAAATAGTATAGTGAATAGAGTAGAGAATATCGGTTCGTATTGTAAAAGAGGATAGACTAGAAATAACGATCTGAATAGTAATAGAGGATAGAGTAGAGAATAGCGGTCCTAACAGTAATAGAGGATAGACTAGAAATAGTGATCATTAGCCGTCAGTTACTTCCTACATATATGAATTTTCTCTATGTTCACTCAATAATGGGATCGCCTGCGTTTGCTCCCTGGTGATCTATGTTCAAACTCAAGTGTCGGCAGCAACAGTTTATTCCTATATAACACCATCTAAAAGTATTTTCTGACCATGTATAGCCTACAAGGTATTAACTCGTTGATACTGAATCAATGAATTGTTTGTGATGCTGTAGCGCCAATATATATCGTCTGATGAAGGATCGTAGTAACTACATTAATACGTTCTCTGTACTTTTCAACGTTGAGAAATACTTTAAATGGTGAATAAAATTTAAATTCAACTGAATAATATAATAATTTAAAGATTCAACATTTTCATTAGTGAATGGAATAATTTATTTGGTAAACACGACATTTTAATTGGTGAATTCAATATTTCAGTTTGCAACTTCTATATTTTAGTTGTCAGATTTAACAGTTCCAGTTGAATTAAAATATTAAATATTAGCATTCACTTTTGTTGTTTCTTTCCCTCCCATTTCACAATTCCAACACGATTAACATTATAATGTAATTTTCCCGGCTGGGAATTGGACAGTTACTGCACTCTGATCCTACTCAGCAAAGCATTACGGGGCTACATAAAAATAAACAAAATAAAAGCGTAGATACTTCAGTTCAGAGTAAAAGCTAAGAAGGAAACAGAGGACGTATCAAAACATTGTATTTTAAATGAAGAATCGATTAAATGGCTAATAATTAATCGCTAACAATAATTAATAATTATTCTCCTAATTTCTTTATTTACATTCGTCCCTATTATCAAAACGTTTCGGTCGTTATGCCCTCCAGCTATGTCCCAGTGTTTGCTTAACACTTTATTTAATTTATATGATGTACTCTTATCCTTCGGCTATCCATATCGAGATATCCCTTTTTTTTTCTTTTTTTTTTTAGTATAACTGATTTATTACTTATCTTGGTCCCACTCCCACAACAAACCGATGAGAATTTCTATACCACGAAAGGAAACAAGTAGAGAATTGTTTCTGAGTTTTCCTTCCAGCAGTCTTGCAAAAGATACAAATCGACTGGATGAAATTGTTTGATCAGGAATTTAGAAGATTACCTTGTCCTTTGTAGCTCTTATTAAAAATTGTCCTTTTGCTATCTCTCCTAATCCCTGTTCTGCCAACCATTTACACAAGATCCTTCTTCTTCTATGTCTCGTTACCTTTCACGGCATGGAAGATCATGGCTCTCCACAATGTCCTCTCCTTTGTAGCTCTTATTAAAATTTGTCCTTTTGCTATCTCTCCTAATCCGTGTTCTGCCAACCATTTACACCTGCTCCTTCTTCTTCTATGTCTCGTTACCTTTCACGGCATGGAAGATCATGGCTCTCCACAATTTCCTCTCCTTTGTAGCTCTTATTAAAATTTGTCCTTTTGCTATCTCTCCTTCTAATCCCTGTTCTGCCAACCATTTACACTCCAAGCTCCTTCTTCTTCTATGTCTCGTTACCTTTCACGGCATGGAAGATCATGGCTCTCCACAATTTCCTCTCCTTTGTAGCTCTTATTAAAATTTGTCCTTTTGCTATCTCTCCTAATCCCTGTTCTGCCAACCATTTACACCTGCTCCTTTTTCTTCTATGTCTCGTTACATTTCACGGCATGGAAGATCATGGCTCTCCACAATTTCCTCTCCTTTGTAGCTCTTATTAAAATTGTCCTTTTGCTATCTCTCCTAATCCCTGTTCTGCCAACCATTTTACACCTGCTCCTTCTTCTTCTATGTCTCATTACCTTTCACGGCATGGAAGATCATGGCTCTCCACAATTTCCTCTCCTTTGTAGCTCTTATTAAAATTTGTCCTTTGCTATCTCTCCTAATCCCTGTTCTGCCAACCATTTACACCTGCTCCTTCTTCTTCTATGTCTCGTTACCTTTCACGGCATGGAAGATCCATGGCCTCTCCTCTCTTAAAAATTTCCTCTCCTTTGTTCTGCTCTTACACCTTAAAATTTGTCCTTTTTCACGGCATGGAAGATCATCTCTCCTAATCCCTGTAGCTCTGTCCAACCATTTGTTCACCAACCATTTACCTTCTTCTTCTATGTCTCGTTACCTTTCACGGCATGGAAGATCATGGCTCTCCACAATTTCCTCTCCTTTGTAGCTCTTATTAAAATTTGTCCTTTTGCTATCTCTCCTAATCCCTGTTCTGCCAACCATTTACACCTGCTCCTTCTTCTTCTATGTCTCGTTACCTTTCACGGCATGGAAGATCATGGCTCTCCACAATTTCCTCTCCTTTGTAGCTCTTATTAAAAATTGTCCTTTTGCTATCTCTCCTAATCCCTGTTCTGCCAACCATTTACACCTGCTCCTTCTTCTTCTATGTCTCGTTACCTTTCACGGCATGGAAGATCATGGCTCTCCACAATTTCCTCTCCTTTGTAGCTCTTATTAAAAATTGTCCTTTTGCTATCTCTCCTAATCCCTGTTCTGCCAACCATTTACACCTGCTCCTTCTTCTTCTATGTCTCATTACCTTTCACGGCATGGAAGATCATGGCTCTCCACAATTTCCTCTCCTTTGTAGCTCTTATTAAAAATTGTCCTTTTGCTATCTCTCCTAATCCCTGTTCTGCCAACCATTTACACCTGCTCCTTCTTCTTCTATGTCTCGTTACCTTTCACGGCATGGAAGATCATGGCTCTCCACAATTTCCTCTCCTTTGTAGCTCTTAGTAAAATTTGTCCTTTTGCTATCTCTCCTAATCCCTGTTCTGCCAACCATTTACACCTGCTCCTTCTTCTTCTATGTCTCGTTACCTTTCACGGCATGGAAGATCATGGCTCTCCACAATTTCCTCTCCTTTGTAGCTCTTATTAAAATTTGTCCTTTTGCTATCTCTCCTAATCCCTGTTCTGCCAACCATTTACACCTGCTCCTTCTTCTTCTATGTCTCATGACCTATCACAGCATGGAAGATCATGGCTCTCCACAATTTCCTCTCCTTTGTAGCTCTTAGTAAAATTTGTCCTTTTGCTATCTCTCCTAATCCCTGTTCTGCCAACCATTTACACCCTTCTTCTTCTTGTCTTCTATTTCTCATGGAAGATCATTTCACAATTTCCTCTCCTTTGTAGGAAAATTTGTCCTTTTGCTCTCTCAATCCCTGTTCTGCCAACCATTTTCCTTCTTCCTTGTCTCATGTTTCACGGCATGGAAGATCATGGCTCTTAGTAAAATTTGTCCTTTTGCTATCTCTCCTAATCCCTGTTCTGCCAACCATTTACACAAGCTCCTTCTTCTTCTATGTCTCATGACCTTTCACGGCATGGAAGATCATGGCTCTCCACAATTTCCTCTCCTTTGTAGCTCTTATTAAAATTTGTCCTTTTGCTATCTCTCCTAATCCCTGTTCTGCCAACCATTTACACCTGCTCCTTCTTCTTCTATGTCTCATAACCTTTCACGGCATGGAAGACCATGGCTCTCCACAATTTCCTCTCCTTTGTAGCTCTTAGTAAAATTTGTCCTTTTGCTATCTCTCCTAATCCCTGATCTGCCAACCATTTACACAAGCTGCTTCTACTTCTATGTCTCGTTACCTTTCACGGCATGGAAGATCATGGCTCTCCACAATTTCCTCTCCTTTGTAGCTCTTATTGAAATTTGTCCTTTTGCTATCTCTCCTAATCCCTGTTCTGCCAACCATTTACACAAGCTCCTTCTTCTTCTATGTCTCATGACCTTTCACGGCATGGAAGATCATGGCTCTCCACAATGTCCTTTCCTTTGTAGCTCTTAGTAAAATTAATCCTTTTGCTATCTCTCCTAATCCCTGTTCTGCCAACCATTTACACAAGCTCCTTCTTCTTCTATGTCTCGTTACCTTTCACGGCATGGAAGATCATGGCTCTCCACAATTTCCTCTCCTTTGTAGCTCTTAGTAAAATTTGTCCTTTTGCTATCTCTCCTAATCCCTGTTCTGCCAACCATTTACACCTGCTCCTTCTTCTTCTATGTCTCATTACCTTTCACGGCATGGAAGATCATGGCTCTCCACAATTTCCTCTCCTTTGTAGCTCTTATTAAAATTTGTCCTTTTGCTATCTCTCCTAATCCCTGTTCTGCCAACCATTTACACAAGCTCCTTCTTCTTCTATGTCTCATGACCTTTCACGGCATGGAAGATCATGGCTCTCCACAATTTCCTCTCCTTTGTAGCTCTTAGTAAAATTTGTCCTTTTGCTATCTCTCCCTGTTCTGCCAATCCCTTACTTCTCCTTCTTCTTCTATGTCTCACCTTTTACACATGGAAGATCATGGCTCTCCACAATTTCCTCTCCTTTGTAGCCTTTTTGCTTCTCTCTAATCCCTGTCTGCCAACCATTTACACAAGCTCCTTCTTCTTCTATGTCTCACCTTTCACGGCATGGAAGATCATGGCTCTCCACAATTTCCTCTCCTTTGTAGCTCTTAGTAAAATTTGTCCTTTTTGCTATCTCTCCTAATCCCTGTTCTGCCAACCATTTACACAATCTCCTTCTTCTTCTATGTCTCATGACCTTTCACGGCATGGAAGATCATGGCTCTCCACAATTTCCTCTCCTTTGTAGCTCTTAGTAAAATTTGTCCTTTTTGCTATCTCTCCTAATCCCTGTTCTGCCAACCATTTACACAAGCTCCTTCTTCTTCTATGTCTCATGACCTTTCACGGCATGGAAGATCATGGCTCTCCACAATTTCCTCTCCTTTGTAGCTCTTAGTAAATTTGTCCTTTTGCTATCTCTCCTAATCCCTGTTCTGCCAACCATTTACTCCTTCTCCTTCTTCTTCTATGTCTCATGACCTTTCACGGCATGGAAGATCATGGCTCTCCACAATTTCCTCTCCTTTGTAGCTCTTAGTAAATTTGTCCTTTTGCTATCTCTCCTAATCCCTGTTCTGCCAACCATTTACCTCTCCTTCTTCTTCTATGTCTCAGCTCTTTCACGGCATGGAAGATCATGGCTCTCCACAATTTCCTCTCCTTTGTAGCTCTTAGTAAAATTTGTCCTTTTGCTATCTCTCCTAATCCCTGTTCTGCCAACCATTTACACAAGCTCCTTCTTCTTCTATGTCTCATGACCTTTCACGGCATGGAAGATCATGGCTCTCCACAATTTCCTCTCCTTTGTAGCTCTTAGTAAAATTTGTCCTTTTGCTATCTCTCCTAATCCCTGTTCTGCCAACCATTTACACAAGCTCCTTCTTCTTCTATGTCTCATGACCTTTCACGGCATGGAAGATCATGGCTCTCCACAATTTCCTCTCCTTTGTAGCTCTTAGTAAAATTTGTCCTTTGCTATCTCTCCTAATCCCTGTTCTGCCAACCATTTACTTCACAATCTCCTTCTTCTTCTATGTCTCATTACCTTTCACGGCATGGAAGATCATGGCTCTCCACAATTTCCTCTCCTTTGTAGCTCTTAGTAAAATTTGTCCTTTTGCTATCTCTCCTAATCCCTGTTCTGCCAACCATTTACAAGCTCCTTCTTCTTCTGTCTCATGACCTTTCACGGCATGGAAGATCATTCTCCACAATTTCCTCTCCTTTGTGGCTCTTATTAAAATTTGTCCTTTTGCTATCTCTCCTAATCCCTGTTCTTCCAACCATTTACACAAGCTCCTTCTTCTTCTATGTCTCAGACCTTTCACGGCATGGAAGATCATGTCTCTCCACAATTTCCTCTCCTTTTGTAGCTCTTAGTAAAATTTGTCCTTTTGCTATCTCTCCTAATCCCTGTTCTGCCAACCATTTACACAATCTCCTTCTTCTTCTATGTCTCATGACCTTTCACGGCATGGAAGATCATGGTAAATTTGTCTCTCCACAATTTCCTCTCCTTTGTAGCTCTTATTAAAAATTTGTCCTTTTGCTATCTCTCCTAATCCCTGTTCTGCCAACCATTTACACAAGCTCCTTCTTCTTCTATGTCTCATGACCTTTCACGGCATGGAAGATCATGGCTCTCCACAATTTCCTCTCCTTTGTAGCTCTTAGTAAAATTTGTCCTTTTGCTATCTCTCCTAATCCCTGTTCTG